ACTTGTAAATATCTTTTATTCCTACATGTCCAGGCTCCTGAAGATGGTTCTTCTTTAGCATAGGAACTCAAGTGGAGTGACGGCAGGGCCTGGATGCCAAGGGACCAGGGTCCCAGCCTCATCCCCTCTGACGCTCAAGTCTCCTCTCCACTTCTCAAGTCATTGCAGAGATCAAATGCGACGAGATATAATCTCTGAACAAACCTTGTCCATTGTAGAATATGAGCATAAGTAACTTAGTATTCAACAGGATACAAATGCCTGCTTAAAATTTTTAGCTAGGGAGGAGCTTATAAAAAGTACCAATACTCTGATATTGAGAATTTTTTATTTTTTTTCAAAATTAGGAAGAAAAATCACTTCCATTTTAGTAAAGAAATGATCGATCATTCCACCTACATTTTGGCTCCCACAGGTGGTCAGAGGTTTTCAGCATAACATAAAAGTCAAGAGTACGGGCCTGGATATCAATTAGCTGACTCTGACACATACCTGCTGTGTGACCTTGAGCAGCTTACTAAACCTCTCTGAGGGAAAACAGGACCTGTCATAAGACAGGGTGTCTGGGAGAATCAAGTAGGATGATGAATGCGAAGAGCTGGGTATGGCCCTTGGCACATGCCAAGTCCTCATTAAGCGACAGCCAAGAGTCTGCAAAGGGAGCTTTCATTTTTCAGTCCCTGGGAAAATTCTTCCACTCTGACATTCCTGCTAAAAACATATTTCATGTTCATCCCGTAACCAAGACGCTCCTCTGGCTCTTCTCTCACCCTCATTCAGTCTGGATGGCTGGTTAGATGATCGTACAGTGAGGAAGAACAGAGTCTACACTGAACAAGCCGACCTGTTCCCAATGTCTGAGCGGAGAGCACTGGGCCTGCCCGGTCTGGTCCCGTGGGTGTGGGCACAGCCCACAGGCAAACCCAGGCGGCCTGGCACTGTTTGCTGACAGGCCTGGGGGCAGCAGGTGAGGAGTGTGAGCTCCTATTTGCACAGGCCATCTCCACGGCAACGGGAAAGTCAACAGGCATGACATTCCTTAGGCTGGTAGAAAATCCTCTGCCTCCACCCTGCGCTTCCAGGTGAGGGACACCTTCCCACACTGCGCTAAGCAGATCCTCAAAGGCCAAATCTCTAGTAGAAAAGCTGAAAAGAAAACCTGGGGCCAAAATACACAAATATTTTGGACAAGCATATAGCTTATTCCCCAGATAGTTTTAATTTTTTTTTTTTTTATGAAAAGCACAGGTAATTTGACCAAGGTCTACGTGTTGTTTACTGGTGGGAACTAAGCCAAAGGTCATGATTCCCAGCTGGCGATGGGGACCTGAGCTGCTTGGCGATGGAGGGACATTATTGTCATGCCCTGTTCATTGCAGAGCCGACTCAGGGTCGGCCTTCCACTACAAGACAGTAAACAACTATGCAGTGACATCTGCAGGACAGAGAACTAATCTCCCAATGAAAAGCGCCCACCCCAGTGACACTGACATATGGCCTAAAATTCCCATTTTGTTCACTCCTTCAGGTAAGTCACTGATGGCCTCAGTCCAAAGAGTCAGTGTTTCTGGGAAGTTAACGCAGGGAACTATTAGCGGCTGTTATGCCGTCCCTTGAATTACTTTCTCAGAAAGTGCCTTGAAGCAGGACCTGGAAGGACTGAGCCACAGGACAGAGAAGTTTGTTGGGGAAAAGAATTGGCAGAGGGTGCAGGGTGTGGCTCAGAGGGCAGGCCGGAGCAGGTACCCTGGTGGGAGCCAGAGAGCATAAAGACACTGGGCGCCTGGGAAAAGTCAGAGGGAGGAAGATGGAAAAGGGAGGGCAAGAGTGAAAAAGCAATGAAGACGAGCTCCATATTCGGCCCAGAATTTACCTTTTTCTGTTATGCCTAAAAATTCCCTGTCATCATAATACCATAGTAATCACCTGCTTGTTTGGTCTTTCCACTCAGCAGACATCATAGCACCATGTGCAGCGTGTCACAGCCAGATGCATGGAGCCCAAACTCTAGAAGGAGCCTCTTAGAACAGGACCCGTCGTATTTTCTTTGTTCAGAATTATGAATAATGTCATAGATTCAGAAAAATATGAAATATTCAGGTTCAGATAGACTGCACGTCAGCTCTATCTCTAGAAATGCACACAGACACCCAAAATGGGTGCCAGGGTGAGCCTTAGGGTGGGGAGTTGTTCTCTTCCCCTCATTGCTGTCATGCGAGGGTCCTGCTGTGTTTTCGATAGGTGTAAATAAATACATAAGGGTCTCGAGGTATTGTTTTTCCTGCTTCCCAACTGGTTCCTGCCTCTAGTCCACACAGAAAGCCTGAGTGATCCTTTTCAAATATGTCAGATCATACTCGAAACCCTTTAATGGGTTTCTGTTCCACTGGGAAGGAAATCCAAAGCCCCTGTCATGGCCCGCACACCCATGTGTGTTTGCAGTTTCACTGACCTTAATTCCTTTCCCCACCCCAGCCCTCATTTTGCCCCAATCTGGTTGGCCTCCTCATATTTCTCCAATACCCCAAGTGCACTCCTGCCTCAGGGCCTTTGCATTTGCTATTCTCTCTGCTTGGGACATTCTTTCCTCCAGAGAGCTGCATGATTCATTCCTTCACTTTATTTAGGTCTCTGCTCAATGGTCACCATATCACAACCTCATATAAAACTGGATCTCCCCTACCCCCACCCTTGACCTCTCTTTACTCATTCACACTGCTTTAGTTTTCTTCATGGATATATCAGAGTTTCCTCCTTAGCTCATAGCACTTCATAGTACCTGGCGCATTACATATATATTTCTTCATGCATTTGTTTATTTTCTGACTTTCCCTAAGTACGCAACCTTCAGGAAAGCGAGGACTTTGAAACGTAGATGAGAGCGCCGAGGCTAGCCCACCAGGCTCTGTTGCCATGCTAAGAGATGAGGCACAAAGTGACAAAGGCCTGAACCAGGCTGGTGGCTGTGGGCATGGGGAAGAAACACATGGCACAGCCTGTGGAAAGGAAGAAAACCTAAGATTTGGGGACAGATTGGATGAGATGCAAAAGGGAGAGGATACAGAGAGGTCTGAGGTTTTGAGCCCAGTGGTCTGGAACTGTCCTGTCCAATATGGTGGCCACCAGCCACATGTGGCTACAGAGCACTAGAAATGTGGTTGGTCTGAACTGAGATGTGCTGTAAGTGTGAAATACACGCCAGATTCCAAAGACTTAGTAGGAAAAAGAAGACATGTTCAGTATCTCGATGGTTTTTAAAATACCAATTACATGTTGAAATGATAACATTTTCAATATACTGAATTAAATATATTATTAAAATTGATTTTACCTGTTCAGCTATTAGAAAATTTTAAATTGCATATGCACTCTGCACTATATTTCTATTGGAAAGGGCCAGTCTAGAATATAAATAGCAGTAGCATTTGCAGAAAGAGGAAAGAAAAGAAGAGGAGGGACTATTATTAGTAACACACAGGAGGCTAGCATGAGGCTTTACCCTCCACTTCCCCAGAACTTTGAAATATGGGAACTAAAATTGACTTCTGGGAGTTGGGGTTGGAGGATGAATAATCATATAATGGTTTGAAGCTGAGTTGTGTAACAGAACCTTAAGAAGCTAGAAATAATGTTCAGTTCAAGAGAGTAGGACCAGAACCTGCCAAAACGTACTCAGATAGTTGAAGAAAAAAATGCATCAGTCGCAAGGGGCATGGTCAGCCATGGAGCATGGAAAAAGGGACCCCATCACAGGCGAGCATGGCAGTGCCCATCCAAGCACCATCTGTCCAGGCTCTCTCCTTCTGACACCATTAAGCAAAAGACTCCAATGACTGGAGCGACCACGTAATTTACTGTCCAAACCAAGCCACTGTTGACAGCAAAAGAGGCAAAATATTAATCATTGTGCTGGGACAATAAACCAGGACTGTCCCAAGAAATCAGGGCATGTGGTCACCCGACCTCAACTAATTCATCCCCATTTATTGCTCTCATTGAGGCTTTCTGATTTGGCCAAATGTGTCTGAGCAAAGACATACATTTTCGAATGTACTAACATTACTAAAAACTGAGATACTGCTTATGATTGAGGTGGGCAGTAAATATCAGGCTTCTTTTTTTGCCCAAATCTGTTATTAATTTAATAGTACATCTTATGAACAGTGACATCTTACAATCAAGGATACAGAGTAATTTGGCTTCCCATGTGGTATAACTTGAAGGAAAATTCATGGATGAGAGGGTAGGAATGCCTTCCCACCAGGCAATTGATTTGTATTGGAAAATAACAAGTAGGTATTCTGGTTTTAAGCATTAGTCTCTTGTGAACTTGGTTAGTTTAAATTGGTAGAATCTAAGACTGGGCCTGAGTCTACAAGGCCAAAGTCCAGATCCAAGACTGGGGTGAATTTACTTAGGTCATTCTGTCCCACGAGGACCTGTTTGGGAAGCCTCCCAATCTTACCCAGAGGACAGCCCTCAGTGTCACTATGGGCACCACCATGACCCTTAGCCATTGACACTGAAAGAGGCAGTAAGACAAGGAGTCTGCTGTCGGTCTGTTAGGACCAAAAGGTGAATGAGACATTAAAATAGAAGTGGGGCTGGCAGTAGAACTTGAATGAGATGTGTATAGGCCACAAATAATCGGAAGAAAAAATGATTGTGATTGTGTCCAATGTAGCTACAGCTGAGATAAACAACCAGAGGCAGGAAGTGCACTTAACAAAGTTGTAGGAGCATAAAGGGTTTCACCATAAGTGCCAGATTTGATGGACTAGTGGGGCTCAGTGTGTGCAGCCTCTTTGGAAGAAAACAGTCATTGGGGAAAAGGTGTGTGACTGATGAGCCACATCTGACATTGGCTCAGAAGGGGCCGGAGGCATGGAATTAAAGCACGATCATATTGGAAGTATTATCATATTATTAAAGATGTACTTCTTCAACAAAATAAGCAATAGTGATATGTATAATGAGAAAAACAGTTGAAAGAAACTTACTTATTTTGTCCGATCGTCTCAAAATCTTTCACAATAATCCCAAGGGAAGATGAAAAGTCCAGTGGTATACCCCTCAAGTCGAACTCCAGTATCTGTTCACATAAAGGGCATACAAACAGAAAGGTTATTGAAAGGAACAGAGAATATAATAAATAAGATGCACCAACACTAAATGTTGGGTCATTATGTTTACCAATGACAACCTTTTGAAGTTTATAGTTAGACAGAAATGATTAAATTCTAAACCTGGAGGCAGGCCGCGTGTGGTGGGTCAAACCTGTAATCCTAGCACTCTGGGAGGCTGAGGTGAGAGGATCGCTTGAGGTCAGGAGTTCAAGACCAGTCTGAGCAAGAGCAAGACCGCTTCTCTACTAAAAATAGAAATAAATTAGATGGGCGTGGTGGCACACACTTGTAGTCCCAGCTGCTTGGGAGGCTGAGCAGGAGGATCGCTTGAGCCCAGGAGTTTGAGGTTGCTGTGAGCTAGGCTGATGCCACGGCACTCTAGCCCGGGCAACAGATCGAGACTCTTATCTCAAAAATATATAAATAAATAAATAAACAAACCTGGAGGCAGCAGAGGGTGTGGGAGAAAAAAAGCAGACTTAGACGCAGAGGACCTGTAAGCAACTCCGGGCTTCCGGTTTCCTAGGTTCTGTGGCTTAAGCCAGGTCCATAAACTCCTGCCTCATAGCCAGAGAATTGGACTTAATGCCAATTACAACTGCTGCAAGAATGAAATGAAATGCATATGTGAAAATGCTTTCTTCAATGGTTTTAAATTATTTGCTCTTCTTGGTCATATTACTATCAAACAAAGAAGAGAAATAATCTAAGAAAACATTTTCTAAAATGCATCAGCCCCTCATTTTAAGTCCCATCGTGGTCAGTCAGTGCTGCCGTCTACTTTGCGAGTCTCTCATTTTAATGCAACAAATTGCTTTCTAACGACAAATATATACATACAAAATCAACATAGCACCACTAATGCCTTTGATAGGTTAGGTTAAAAGTGAATTAAATAAATTAAATGATGATTTGATCCTCCTTGTAGTGGGCTTGGAATGGAAGGAACACTTGTCTCAGAGCTCATAGAACACACCCACCAATCCCAATGGGTTTGGGGTTGACATTTCATTTGGGTTTGGTTTTAGTTATAAAACTGCAATTGGGAAGTTTATTTGATAAATACATTTGCAATATGAAAAAAAACCCACCATGTCGAAAACAAAATCATAGCCAGGCATGGTGGTGCATGCCTGTAGTCCCAGCTACTCGGGAGGCTGAGGCAGAAGGATTGCTTGAGCCCAGGAGTTTGAGGTTGCTGTGAGCTAGGCTGATGCCACGGCACTCACTCTAGCCCGGGCAACAAAGCGAGACTCTGTCTCAAAAAAAAAAAAAATTAAATAGGATGGATGATTGCCTGTGGAAAACATGCCAGCTCACATGAAAACACATCTATCTGTCATTAGTCACATGGCTTGAGCTCAAATATAAAGACACATGTTAGGATGATTCAAAATCTGAAGCAGTAAACACATACACATAAATGTTTTTTGTTTTTTTTGAGGCAGGGTCTTGCTCTGTCACCTGGGCTAGAGTGCAGTGGCATCATCATAGCTCACAGCAACCTCAAACTCCTGGGCTCAAGCGATCCTCCTGCTTCAGCCTCCTGAGTAGCTGGGACTACAGGCACACACCACCATGCCTGGCTAAATTTTCTGTTTTTTTGTAAAGACAAGGTCTCGCTCTTGCTCAGGCTGGTCTCAAACTCCTGGGCTCAAGTGATCCTCCCACCTCGGCCTCCCAAAGTGTTGGGATTACAGGCGTGAGCCACAGTGCCCGGCCAAATGTATTTTTTACTTGCTTTATCCTTGGAGCTCTCTGCCTGGTGCTGGGAATCCACAGTGACAGGGCATGACTCTTGCTGTCAGGGAGCTTGTTGTGTAGCTTGCCTTCTGGGTTCCAGGGAAACTACAGAGAAGCAGAATTCTCTCTCAACCTGCCTGAGACCAGCAGGGCTTTTCAGAAAGGCATTAAGAAGCTTTTTGTCTTTACCTCATTCAAGGATAAGGTCTAGTCTCTACTATTTAGAGATAAATATTCTATCTTTGTAGAGATAAATTCCAACTAGATTCCTCTCTATATGGGAGAGGAAGGGATTTGCACTGAGAGGAGGAGGAGCCTTCACAGCCTAGTGACTTGGTGAAAATAACAAAGACATTTATTACTGCTCTTGGCCAGGGAGGTTTGAACCTGGCTTTTGAAAAACACAGTGGGGCTGACCAGCAACTTTTAAAAAATTGTCAGGGTTTCATGCAAGATTGGGTAGTTATTAAAAAAAAATTGGAGTAGGAAAACGCTATTCAGTGGGAAGAATAAAATTTTCACATATCTATGAAAATATTAAATACTTATAAAACATAAAATCAACAGTGGGGGAAGGTGAAAAAGCTATATTACACCCCTGCAATAGGATATTACACAGTCATTGAACCTACTTTTAGAGTGAATGACATGGACATATGCCCAGGATAAAATAGTAACAAAAAGTAGGAGAGGGAATTGTATTTGCTATATGATGCTAGTTCGTATTTCAGACTCATATTTTATTAAAATATTTATTCAATAACACTTACAGTTAATAGTAGTTGCTTCTAGAGAATGGGACCAAAGTTAATTTTTTTCAAGAATTTCTATGTTAAATATACAAGACATTTTATCAACATACAAATAGAAAATGTCATTATTCAGCTAGACGCACAGAGTCTCATGCGATACTCTCTTGATTAGTCACATGCAGATATGTTTTTAATTTATGGTGCTTTCCTTCTGAAACTCTGGAGATGACCTAATCCCACCCTTTGCTCTACAGATGTGCAGCATAAGTGGACCAAGGTCACACAGCAAGGTCACAGCTGTGCCAGGCTAGAACTCAGTACAGGCTTCCCTTGCCACACTATTGTTGCACAGGAGGTGGTGGTTAGTGTGTTACATCTTCTTGAACTGCTCTGCCTTCTTGGTGGGCATGAAGGGGGAGATGCATGAGGTGGGGTGAAATGTAGACCTTCTCCTTCCAAAGAGAAGGGTTAACCTCTGACCCAAAAATTGGACAATCAGATATAGCTTATCCATTAAAACAAAGTAGAAAAAACAATACAGTCACCTCATTCCAGACAGGGTTGAGTTCATTATCAACTTTCTTTGTTTTCTTTTTCTCATCTACAAATAAAAAATAAGAGATATCAATCAATCAGAAGTAAGTAAAGGGAATGTACCATTCATTTATTCATTCAGAGGACATTACCTGAGGTCCCTCTAGGTGCCCACATTTCCCCAATCATCTGCCTAGGATGGGGGCTTCCTGAATCAAAGTTTTCCAAACCGAATGGTATTTTTTGGCCTCCATTTGCCCATCCCCAGATCTACAAAGACTTAAGGGATCAGGGATTCAGAATCATTGGAATGCTGTGATGATGTTCTGTGCCTCTTGCAACAAGATTTCCCAAGACCTCTGCATCTCCAACTTGCAGCAGAAAGACACCAGCGAAGTTGACCTTTGAGATGCTGGTATCGCCATTTCATAGATGAGGATACTGAAGCCCAAAGAAGTCAAAAACGTGTCTCAGCTCACACCTGGCAGTGGTGCCCTGATGTCAACCTGACATTTCAGCTCTGAAGCCCACACTGCCTGTGAGTGTGGTAAGACCCCCAATACAGCTTAAAGATGAACCTGGACTCCCTCCCACAGGCCTCAATACAAGGTGACTAGGAGATGAACACTTCCTAGGATCAGCGGAGGATTTGGTGTTTCCTTTACTTCAGCCCACCTTTTCTGAAGACACGAGGTCTTTTTTGGCTGTGTCCGAGCCTGGACAGTACACCTACCTGGATGAGCACATGAGTAAGCCCAGTTAGTGCTTAAAGCTTCCTTGGAGCAAAGTCCAAAGAGCAGAGAGTTCTCTTGGATTCCAAGTCCCCAAATACTTACCCAAACAAAGGCTAATCTCTGAGTGCAAAATGATTCGTAAGCATTATCTCTTCTAATCTCCTTACAAACACTGGGAGGTATACATGACTATTTCCACCCCCGTTTCACAGCTAAGGAAACTGAGAAGCTAAGTAACATTTTCAAAGGCACCCAGTTAGTAAGTGGCAGGGCTGGGACTTGAACCCAGGCAGCCTCACACTAGTGGCCACACTTTGAACCACTCCTCAGCCATTGCTTCCTCTCTACAGCTGTGGAATGTAGGAAGCAGTGGGTTTTGTTCAGCTGGATGTCACACTGCTTCGGCTCCCAGCACACAGCTGGCTGTGGGACTAACCACCTCCTTCTTCCAAGACCTCAGCACGGCAAGGCCATGAATCATGCCCCTCACTCGGCTAAGCATTAACTTTTCCACTTGAGTGGGCATCGCACAGCCCTACCGGCCCCTCTTTCTAGGCTTCAGTGTGACCTTACTCGTCAGCTCGTGCCCCGACCTGTGCTGCTTGGTTCTGACTGTGGGCTTCCTGCGCAGCCTACAGAGACCCTCACTGGATCGGATTCCAATGGCGCCTAGAAGCTGCCCTGAAATTTCCCCTCCCACACGTTGGTATTGTCCCACCCACCCCTCCCTTCGTCTGACATAAACTCTCAATCTTCCTCTCTGCTTAGAATACAGAAAGTGCTCTTAAGAGAAAGAGGAGCCATGCAAAGGATTTTTAACTTAAATGGAAGTGGATAAAATGGCTCCTACGCACAATTGCAGCAGCTCCCTCTAAATAATCATCCGCAGGTGACCGACTGTGCATTGTCCTGCAGCGTCTCTCACCATTGCGACAATCCTTCAAGGCAAACATTGTCCTCTCCATTTTACAGACAATAAAACTAAGAGGAGCTAGTTAACCTGCCTAAGAACACATAACTAATGAGGAAACAGAGCCAGATTTTGAACCTAACATCTCTCTGGCCCCAAAACCTGAGCTGCACGTTTGCTATCATGCCACAGTGCGTCATTGGAAGCTGTCAGAAATGCTGGATGAGGAAAATGCCTAAACATAGTATGTGTGATGGGCTTGGCATCTTGGCAACGTCCACAGAGAAGTCCATGGTCAGGTTCCAGGGAATCCTGAAACTCTCTAAGATTATTTGCTCTAATATGTAAAATATTGTATCTGTGAGTTTTTCTGGGGAAAGAGCTTATTGTTCTCACCAGATTCTCCAATGAGTTAGTGACCTTGAAAAAGGAATCCCTGCGTTCAACAAGCATGAAATGGTGCCCCCAGTCTCCCTCCCCCTCACCACTACCCCTGCTGCGCATAACCAGGGCTTGGTGAGGGAGAATTGAGTCCTCAAAGAGTCGATCTGGACTCTGAGACCACGGCAGACCTTCAAGACAGAAGAGGGGCAATTCCAAGAAGTCCCAGCAAGAAAGTGAAGCAAGAAGGCAGCAAATAATTTACAGAAACTGGGCACTGAGGCTTAGGGTAGGCTTTGGGTCACTGAAGGATAGTATTGAAGCAAAATCCAGTCTCCAAGTCCCCAAGACTGCAAGCAGGAAGCCAAGGCAGGGACAGGGGCTCCAGGAAGGCTAAAGAAAAAGCCAGCACTTGTTAACTTGAAAGTCCCAAGCCTGGTTACTGTCCTAGGAAATAGAGTATGAGGAAGACACACTGCAAGACCATCTTGATGCCAAGCCAGGTACTACTGACCCTCTCTGCCCCCAGGAGGGACAGGGTTGTTCCAGAGTCAACAATGGGGGAGTGTAAAAAGATTCACTCGTTCATTCATCATTCGCAAACATTTATAAGCACCTATTATGTGCCAATAACAGGAAACAGAAGAGTGCAAGATAGTT